ATTTTTTATGTTTTTCTTCCTTTTTTTGGTCTCTCTCTTAAAAGAAAAACTATTGTTATGGGGGGGTATAAGATAGGACGAGAGATTTTGAGATTAAATAATAATTATTATCATCATCACACACGCATATATATATATATAATATATATATTCTCTGAAATCATAAAATACTGCGCAAGATTATACACGATTGTGATAGAAATATGATATCGCATATTAGAATTTAATTAGGAAAGGGGGTGCATAATATTATCCAATTGCAACGTTTATCTAATAACGTGCTAGCGATTACGTGTTACTAATTAAAATATTTATCTATCTATCTAGATATATATATATATATATATATACATATACATGTATACACAACACACACACACAGATACACACGGGATAGAATTTTAGGAGTGCAGTGAGGAAAGGAAAAGGTGGGGGGGGTGATAGAGAATGTTTGTTTCTTATCAGCACAACATAACAAGAAATTAGAAACAAACATGGTGCTTTTTTAACAATTTGTTATTTTTCACAAGTGGAAAAAAGAAAATCAATCCGTCATCTAAGAAAATCCCGACGATCATTTATTTATTTATTTTTTTTTTTATTTTTTCTCTCTACCTAAACTTTCATTGACATTTGTGCAATCTAATTAAAAATAAAATTGTTTCTCGGGATATAAGGGGATCGATTGATTAAACAAACAAAAAAATACATAAAAAGAAAAAAAAAATAATAATAATATAATCGTATTGAAACTTTGATTAACGAGGGTTAAGAAAAATATGTGAGAGAGGAGGAGGAGGAGGAGGAGAAGGAAGAGGAGGTGGAAAGTAGAAAGGGGGTTAATAATAATAATAATGACCGTTCTGACATAATTCGAATTTATTAATAATATAATTGTTTTTTTGTTTTTTGCTTCTTTTTTTTTCCGGCTATTTATTCGGATTCTATTTCATTTCCACGTTCAATTAAAATCAAGAAAACGAATACTATGATATCGGAGGATATGATAATGATGATGATGATGATGAAAGGATAAAAAAAAAAAAGTAATGAAGAAGAACCAGAAGTATTCGTCATCGAGGACTTTTATATCGGATTTTTTTTTTTTTTTTTTTATATCGAGTCATCTGTGGAAAGAACAAAAAAAATTTAATTGGACAGGATGCGAGATAATACCAATTTTTCTCTGCATATTTAATTATGCATTTTATGCAAAAGTGTAATATAAACTCAAATGTTGTAATATATATATATATATAAAGAGAGAGAGAGAGAGAGAGAAAGAAAGAAAAAGAGAGAGAGAGAGAGAGAAGGAGTGGTGGGGGGGGGGACAAAAAGCGTTAAAGAAAGTATTAGTATAAAACAAAAGAAAAGAAAAAGAAAAAAACCAACAAAAACCCCTTTCTTTTAGAAGCCATTAATTATTATTATATATGTGTTTGTTATTATTATTATTATTATTATTATTATTATTATTATATGTTAATGGCGATCAAGAGAATTTCAAAGTTTTGTATATATGATTTATGTTTGCGTGTGTATGTATATTTAATTGGAGCAAAAGGTGTGGTTGGGTGGGGGGGGATTGAATAATATTCATTGTTTTTTTTTTTTATTTGACCATACAGTGTTGAAGAAATAATTTTGTATAATGAAGAAATTTGTAATTAGAATTTGTATGATATAAAATCATT